ACAGGCTCCAGGCTCTGAGCCATCAGCCCAGAGCCCGACGCGGGGCTCGAACTCACGGACCGCGAGATCATGACCTGGCTGAAGTCGGACGCTTAACCGACTGCGCCACCCAGGTGCCCCTTTTAAATTTTTTTTTTTAAATTTTTTTTTTCAACGTTTATTTATTTTTGGGACAGAGAGAGACAGAGCATGAACGGGGGAGGGGCAGAGAGAGAGGGAGACACAGAATCGGAAACAGGCTCCAGGCTCTGAGCCATCAGCCCAGAGCCCGTCTGCAGTCCAACTTCTAACCCCCGACAGGATGCCAGTCAATGCCTGAAACACCTCATTAGAGCTCTGCCTCTTTTTTTTTTTTTTTTTTTTTAATCAAAACAGTTCTTGGTCCCTCATGAGTGACTGGGGCTCCTTCCTTAGATCCACTTTCAGCAGCTCCTGGAGACCAGACTTTGGTAGAAGAGCTCAGATCCCAGAACCAAGATCATCAGAACAAGGAAGGGCTTTGAGCTCCTGGTCCATCCTTCTCTCCCCTTTATATGGGGAGAAAAGGAACCTAAGGGCTAGAGTGGGGTAGTAACTTGCCCGAGGTTACTCCCAAGCTAGCGGGAGTCAGAGTTCATGGAGAGGGAGGAGGCTGGCCCAACACGTAGGCCTAGGTCCTCCCTAAGAGTCCTTGCCAAGGAATATTTCACAACTGTGACTGTCACAGCCCTGTTCAAGGGCCCTTTCTTGATGGGCCTGTTGATTGTGAATTATTAACCTGCCCAAGCCTGTAATCTGTTGGGTGGGGCCCATTCATTTTAAGAAAACCCGCTTTACAGTCACTAGCCCGCTGGGTTGGGGGGGGTGTAGCTCTAAAGTCTCAATGGCTAGTTCTGGATTGGTAGAGACAGCTACTGGACAGGTGCTTCATGCCAGGGAAAGGCCTGGAGGAAGGGACTGAGAAGGGGGGATGAAGGGGAAGGTGCCAAGGGTCAACCCAAGGAATGTTCAGTAAGCCTCACAGCATCCCTGAAAGGCTGGCACTGTTATCTCAGGTTTACAGATGGGGAGACTGAGGGTCAGAGAGAGAGAGGCAGAGCCGATTTCACAACTTAAGCTGTTTCTACAACAATGGCATCACTGTTCACATGCTCACAGCCTTATTTCTATGATACCCCTCCCATTTCCACATACTTTTCCTACGGGATAAAGAGTCAAGACCTGATTCCAAATCACACTTGGTCCAAGCCTCAGTTTTCTCATCTGTGGGATGGGAGATAAAGCCACTGTGGAGCTTTTTGGAGCATCCTGAAGAGGTCTCATGAAACACATATTTATTGGGGCCCTTCTTAAGCTGAGAGATGGTGCTGGTAAAAGTAGTCCCTGGAGGTTCTCAGGGCCACCAGGTGTGGTGAGCCCAGTGATTTTTCTTGCAGGTTAGGGAGAAAATAAGAGAGGAAGCAGGCCTGGCGGCTTGCATGCACAAAGCACTAGGAAACTCTCCCAGCAAGGAAGGAAGGGACCCAGGACTCAGGTTACTCTCCTGGTCCCCACAGCTTGGCTGTCAGCTCCAGGTGGGGATGGGCAAGTCACCTGGGTTGGGAGGCGGAAATAATGATGACTCCTAGGCTGCTCAGGCTTCCAGCTGGGCCCAGAGCTCTTGGGGGCTGGGAGCTGCCTGGGTGGAGCCCTCCTGAGGGGTGGGCCACTTTGCTGCTCAGACTCATGAGGTGAGTGGCTCTAGCATCACTGCCACTGTTGTGTGGGGACAGCTCCAGCTCCAAAGGCAGCATGGCTGCTTATCTTGCTGAGCTTCAGTTTTCATCTGTAAAAGGTTGAGAATAATGGCATCCACCTCACCATCACCACCATCAGAGCACTGCAGGTAACTGTGTTACACATCAGGCACCGTGCTGGGGATTTTAGATACATGAATTCTTAATCCTCACAACCACCCTTTGACGCAGGCAGTATTTCCATTTTACTGATGAGGAAACTGAGGCTCAGAGAGATGGTTAAAAGGATTAAATGAGATAATCCATGTTATACACTTAACATGTGTGTCATGTAATAAGCTTTTGGTGAACATCAGTCATTATTATAATTACCTCAGAGGGAAATGGTAAAGTGCTAGGCCTAGTGTTGGTATTTGGTGATTAATCAGACACTGATACAGAGATGTCCGACCAGATTCGACCCTCCAAAAGCTCCCAGTCTGATGGCAGAGACAGTCACATACAAACCTCACTCTACCACTCTCACACACAGATGGTGTCAGCCCAGGGTGATGAGGGCAGGTCAGAGGGGGTTGGGGCAGTGTGTGCCTAGGAAGCCCCTGACCCAGCTAGATGTAGTGCCTGAACTGAAACCTGCAGGGCCAGTAGAAGTTTTGGCATATGTCAGGCCCTTAATAAATGTTGGTCAAATACAACAAAGATTTACCTGTAGCTAATGTAGCACAAAGCTTCAGAACCCCTCACTCGGCCCTTTCCAGGGCTCTCACAGGACCCTGGAAGTTGTATGTTGGTAAATTTGTATTCTTTTTTTTTTTTTTTTTAAAGAAGGCTTCCAATTGTAAGTTTCTGGATCTAACCCTGATTAAATGAATGAATAATAAGTAACAAGGGAGGAAGGTGTGTCCCAGGCAGAGGGAAGAGCGTGTACACGTGCCCAGAGACTTGAAAGAACATGATGTGTGATAGGGGCCCCAGCCTCTTTACCGAGTCTCCTCTTCATGCACATTGCTGGTCTTCTCACAAGCTTCACAAACTCCAGCTGACATCTGTGTGCCTTTGCCCACCTCCCTGCTTTCACCCATGCTGTTCTTCCATCTGGTACACCCTTTCCACGACTTTATTGTGTATAAACAATATAAACTTGAAGGCTCAACTCTGTGCCCACCTTCTCCAAGAAACCCTCACCCCACCCCTCCAGTCTATGGATGCCATTATAGTCTGCTTCTTGTATTTAATTACCTTTTCTGTGCCTGTGCCTGAGAATCAGAGAGGTAGAATGATCCTTGAAAGTGAACATCTAGCCTCTGCTCACATATGGGCAGGATAAGAATTCACTACCTTTCCAGGAAGCCCGTCTAGATTTAACAGTAATCTCCTTAACCTCTCCCCTCTGCCGCAAGGCCCAATCTGCCTGGCTCTCCCTGAACCTAGTCTGAGCCATCTTCCTACTATGGCTGCTTCTACAGGCTCCTCCTGCTTCCTCTTCTGACATCCTGGAGCTAAGGGTTGATCCAGGGGCCTGGAGTCCCTCCTCCTCCTGTCCCCTGCCTTTGTGAAGGGACAGTTCTAATGGCAGCCACGTGCTCTGATGAGTCATGGTTAAGAGCATCTGGGGCCTGGAAGTGGTGGCTGGTTAACTCTTCATGGGCCAGTGGCTCTTTCTGTCAGAAGGCCAGGTGGGCTTCAACCTTGGCCCTAGACATATACCTCAGGGCTAAGCACACAGCATTTGAGGAGTGTTATGCATGATCCCATATACGGGTTGGGGACCCAGAGGGGAGGGCACCAAGGGGGAAAAAAGGCAAGAGTGTGTCCACCTTGGAGTCAGGAGGGCCAGGCTCCAATCACAACTAGCCACTTATTAGGTGAATTGACTTGAGCAAGTCACATAAACTCTGTGCCTCAACTTCTGTCTGTAAAATGGCAGCTATGGGGACTATTTGAGAAGGCGAGTGTGAACTACTGACTAGTGAGTGTTAAACCACGCTATTTTCCATCTTCTTGTCCGCTGCCGCACGCACAGTCATGCAGCGGGCAAAAGGGAGTGCTAAAACCTAAGCCTGACTCGGGAGGCCGCGTGTTTCCTGGCGTGAATGCCCCCCACCAATGCAGTAGGATGATGAAGGGCTCAGGTGGGGGCCGCAGCGAGGCGGGAGCTGTGGGGGAGGGGAGAGCGGCCGGGAGGTGGACCTCGGGCCTACGAACTTTCTGGCCACAGATAGGTGGGGCTGTGGGAGGCAGGAGCGAGCTCCGGCCCCTGGGGCTGTGCACGGAGGGCACACGGCATGGGCCCGGCGGACCTGGGGTGCCCGGTCCTCTCACCTGTGAGAGCTGAGGGCGGGGGTCGCATTCCGAGGCCGCCCCCCGCCCAGCCCCAGCGTCCAGTCGGCCACAGACGGGCGGCTGCCGTGGCCCCACTGCGCGGGCGGGCAGACCGAGGCCCGGCCCGGCCCGG